ACCCTGACCAGTTCACCTGCTTTCCAAACCTGCCACGCAGACTCAGACTGGTGCCTGAGTTCCCTTCATCCACTTCTCTGTCTACATCCTTCAGAGCCCCCTTCCCAAGGCCTCACTCATCATCAATTAGAGTTAAGTGCTCTCTTCCCTCTCCCTGTCTGAACTTGGTCCCATTCAACTCATTCTGCCTTTTCTCAGGATCGCCGGTAGTCAGATCCTGACTCACAGACAATGAACACCTCAACCAGGGCTTATACATCCCTGTGGGCCACATACCCTGCCCACGGCTGGTGTTTGCCACATGCCAAATGAATGGATGAATGAATGAATGATCAAGCAGAAATATGGTCACACCAGAAGGGGAGATCATGTCACCGGGACCGTGAACACCTGGCAAGAAGCACTGGGCATGACTGCCCCAAATTGCTCTCTGTCAAGCATCTCAGGGCCATCTGGTCCAGTCTGTGTCACATAACCTCTCCATAGAATTGCAGACAGCTGGTTGGACCCTGCATGAGTACCTCGCCTGAGAGCAGGCGAAGCAGGCTGAAGCTCTAGCACATTGCCTAAGTGCAGTGGGAAGGACATGAGCTCTGGGGCCTGACTGACCTGAGCTCTGATCCCAACTCTGCTGTGTGCCAGTTGTATTGCCTTATGCAAGATGCTTAACCTCTCTGAGCCACTTGGTTACCTCCTTTATAAAAGAGGCATAGTACTACCTCCTTCTCAAAGTCGTTGTAGGGGTTATAGAGAATATACAGAAACAGAAAACAAAACAAAACAAAACCCTCTAGCTTACAGAGGCTACTAATGAATGCTAGCTAATTCTATCTTAATGACATGATTAGTTGTTGCGTGCAACTGCAGGAGGTTTTATGAAGAGTTCAAGGAAAATTCTAAGAAATGGCATTTGGGCTTAAACTATTATGGAACTCATTAATAAGGTCTCACATGGAGATGATGTACTAGAGTTGTTCAAGGCTGGGAGTCAACAACCTTTTCCAACAGGGACACATCCCACAATTAGCAAACTTTTGCAGCAGGGACACATCCCGCAGATAATGCTTATAAGTGAGACACTTCCCAGCCCACAGGGGCCACAGCAGGGATGCAGAAGGCTGCAGAGGCTGGCCTGTAAGAGATGACCCAGAAAGAGAGCTTAGGGACAGCGTATACCTATCTTAGTCCTAATTCTGGAAGCAGGCAGGATAGGACAGAGAATTCTGCTATCATGTTTGAGAGTCGAGTTGATCTGATTTGGCATTAGGAGACCCAGGCTCAGGTCTTAGGAGCCCATCTAACAGCAAGGCTTTAACCTCTCTGAAGGGTAGCAGGAAGAAGAGGGCGCCTGGAGAGCTTGGCAGGGAGCGGTGGCCAGAGCCCCCTATGTACCCTGGGTTAGCTGTAGGCTTCTGGGTGGAGCCCTCATGGTTCAGAAGTCAGGTCAGGAAATCTGACTGAACCTAAAGAAGGTGGAAAAGGTAGGCGGTAGAGGTGAGGAAAGGTACAAAAGCAGCCTTGCTGCTGGGAGGGTGGGATGCCATTCACAGGGTCAGAAGGTCACAATCCTCACTGCAGATCCTATCCTTTCCCAATCTCCCCATTGCAGTGTGTGGCACTGCCAGCAAAAGTCCCGGAGCTCCCACTCTCCCTGATCCCTGCCTCCCGCTGCTCAGAGCACTGAGTCTTGCCCATTCTCTCTCTTCTCCACCCCCTCTGTCGCTGTCCTGCTTTCCCCTTGCCTCACTGCAGTATTCTGCCTGGCCTCCCACCTCCGCTCTTCCCTTCTGTTCGCCATTTATACCAACATTCTCTTCTCTAAAACTAATCTGGCCTCACTCATCCTTGGCTTGGAATCATTGGCACGTCCTTGTTACAGTGCAGCCCATCGCCCTTAGCATGGATGGCAGGACCTCTGTGGTCTGTGTAGCCTCTTATGCCCTTCCCTGCTAAACATGAACCCAGCCCCACGAACTGCCTGCAGGTCTGGTCCCCCAGGGGCTATGCCACCATGAGCCTCTGAGCATGTTACTCAGTCTACCTAAAACTTGCTCCCCACTCTCTGGCCAACTCCCCGTCACCTTCTCTGATTGCACTCCGGAAACCCCTTCCCCACTCCTGGACTGGGGCCTTCCTCTACCTTTCCCACACCCTCCTCCTTCGTGGCTTTCACCATCTTGTCTTGGAGTAACTTCAGATCCCTCTGCCTCCCACACCCTGTGTTGGAGGACTGTTCTTTCATGCTTGGGCTTTACAAAGCTCTTCACCCTGTCAGGCAGACCATAGGCACTCAGGAAATAGTTTGTGAATGAACGAACAAATGAATGAATGGGTAAAGATGAACAGTGAGAATATCCAGGGGGAGAAGACAATTTGGTGGGGGACACAGATGATTTGGGTCTGGGGACATTGAGTCTGAGTTATTGGTGGGTGTCTTAGAAGGTGTTTTCTGTTGCTTATAACAAAACCGCTGAAACTGTGTAATTTGTAAGAAACAAAATATATTTATTATAGTTCCAGAGGCTGAGAAGTTCAAGGTTGAGAAGCTACATCTGGTGAGGGCCTTCTTATTGATGAGGACTCTCTGCAGAGTCCCAAGGCAGCACAAGGCATCACGGCAAGGAGGTGGTGTGCTAACTCAAGTCTCTCTTCCTCTTATAAAGCCACCATCCCCACTCTTGTGATAACTCATTAATGTGTTAAACCTTTAATTGATTAATATATCAATGGATTAAACCATTCATACTGCCTTTATGACCCAATCACCTTTTAAAGACCCCACTTTCCATAATGTTACACTGAGGATTACATTTCAACATGAATTTCAGAGGGATCAGACACTTAAATCATAGCAGAGGGGTATCTGGGTGAAGACCCAGGCTGCTTTGGAAAGAGGAAGGTCTCTTATGAGACAATGGTCTCTCCCTTCACATAGGAGCCAACTTCCCTAGAGAATTCCAGAGATCAGGAGGTCAAATAGCCAATAAGTGGCTCAGTGTTATCAAACCAGCCTTATCAACTAAGAGAGTCTCAGAGCTAGAGGACATTGTTAGGATCTGATCTAGCCTAATTCCTTTGCTTTACAAATGGGAAAACTAAGGCTGAGAGCAGGAAGAGGCCTGTTCCACAGCTAGTGCTAGAGCCAGAACCCTTGTGTCTCCCTCATAGTCTAAGCTTTCTGCTGCCTCCTGGGGCTCCTTGTTCATAGGTCTCCTCTCTGAGTTATGGAAAGACTTAACTCCAAAGATACTTATCCACTAGCTCCTCTTTTCCCCCAACACAGCTTCTAATGGACCCAAATAAGAGCAGGCCTGATAAATGCCTCCGCACAGAGCTTACACATTGAATCCCATGCCCTTAACAAACAGGATGGGCCTCTGTCAACAACTACATTTATTTTACCTTGTTTCGAATGTTTTCAGGCATCAGCCATATAACAGATCAAAACCAGCTGATGACAAACCCAGGGAGGGGTTGCTGAGAACAAGAAAATGGACACATTGACTAAAAAAAGCAGCCCTGAGGATTGTTCCTGTAAGGACCAATAACCATTCACACCAAAGCACAAGAAGACTCTCCTGGCCAGGCGTGCCAGCTAATGCCTGTAATCCTAGCACCATGGGAGGTTGAGGCAGGAGGATTGCTTAAGGCAAGAGTTCAAGGCCAGCCTGAGCAAGAACAAGGCCCTAGCTCTACAAAAAATACAAAAAATGGCTCGAAGTAGTTGGGGGCTGGAGGTGGTAGGTTCAAACCCAGCCCCAGCCAAACCCCCCCCCCAAAAAAAAGAAAGAAAGAAAAGAAAAGAAAAAGTTAGCTATGTGTAGTGGCAGGCACCTACATTCCCAGCTACTTGGGAGGCTGAGGCAGGAGAATAGCTTGAGCCCAGGAGTTTGAAGTTGCTATGAGCTATGATGACCCCACGGCACTCTACCTTGGGGCAACAGAGTGAGAATGTCTCAGAAAAAAAAAAAAAAAAAGGGCTCTCCTACACATGCACAAGTACAAATCCCAACACTAGTCCTAGTTGTGATAACCAAATTATATTCAGTACTTTCTGTTAACTTAAGATCTGCAAACCTTTAGGCAAGGATGCTCTAAATGTGGTTAAGATCTAAAGCCATCAAATGTGATGATCTAAAGTGATTAAGATCGTTAAAATTCTAGACTATCAGAAGCAAGCCTTCTCTCTGCTGTTTAAAAGGAGGAATTATCCTTTAGGATTCTGGACAACAAAAAATTCTTCATTCATTATAAAAAAGTGAGGAAAGAAATTAACATTTGTTGATAGGCCACAATATTCAAGGCAGAGACTGTGCCTAACAAATCATCTCACTTAATTTCATGACTCTAACCTTGCACACAGCAGACATTCATATTTGCTGAACTGAATGGGTTGGGTTTTTGCAGCCTTCTTTTTATTTTATTTTTATTATTTATTTATTTATTTTTTGTTTGAGACAAAGTCTCAAGCTGTTACCCTGGGTAGAATGCTGTGGTATCATAGTTCACAGCAACCTCCAACTCTTGGGCTCAAGCAATCATCTTGCCTCAGTTTTTCTATTTATTTATTTTTTTTTTTACTAGAGACAGGGGTCTTGATTTTGCTCAGGCTGGTCTCAAACTCGTGAGCTCAAGCAATCCACCCTCCTCAGCCTTCCCAGAGTGCTAGGATTACAGGAGTGAGCCACCCTGCCCAGCCAGCCTTATTTTCGAGATTAGTAAAACGAGGTCTGAAGATTAGAATTTCCTGCCCATCATCACGGTGTGGAGTTGGGAGCTGAGCTCTTTCTCCAAGTCACTATTGCTAAGGTCACAACCTCGGTCAAATTTGCAAGAAGGAAAACTTGCACTTTTCATGATGAAAGACAAACTAGCCCTCCAGCCACACTTAAGTCAATGTCACAAGCACTAACTGTGACCTTGCTGTGTTTGTGGCCCTGTGTTAGGAGCACTATTTCCAGGCATAGGATATTTCACATTCCTAATGCTTTCTTTGACAGGAATGAATTCAAAGCATGGACGGACATCAAGCCTGTGAAACCAATAAAAGCCAAGCCCCAGTACAAGCCCCCAGATGATAAGATGGCTCATGAAACCAGCTATAGTGCCCAGTTCAAAGGGGAGGCCAACAAGCCAACAGCAGCTGACAATAAGGTCACTGACCGCAGAAGAATACGCAGCCTCTACAGTGAACCTTTCAAGGAACCCCCAAAGGTGAGACTGGATGTGGGAATCAAGACTGACCTTGTGGGAATCCTTCCACTCCAGCACCATCTGGACTGAAAAGGTTAACTGTAACAGAGCGTAGGGAGTGGGTTACTGCCAGCTCTTTAAAATTCCTGGGTTCCTTTTAGCACACTGAGACCCAGGGTATCTTCAACAAAAAGCTTTGTTAAATTCAAAGGGAATGTTAAAAGAGAGCATTACCTAAAATGAAAAGCTTAAGGGATGGCAGATTTCCAGAGAACTAGTTTCTGATTTTGAGAAATCCAGAAAAATAGTGGCAGAAAATCTCACCTAAATCCTAAATCCCCTGTCTTAAAATAACTGTGCTTTTGCCCCTGAAGGCCCACCCAGTGTGGCAGGCCCTCTCGTCCAGCTTCCTTCCCATCTCTCCCTGGTCCTGCCTCAGCCTGGCTTCTGTCACTGGACCCTTCTTTCCTTCCCTGGTCCCTGAAAAGTGCCTGCCCTCTCTCATCTTCCCTGGACGGACACCATCCACCAGCTGTCCTCAGTCTGTCACAACACACTTGTTACATCAGCTGCAAGATGAGTTCCCAGTGATTTGTTACTAAAATCAGCAGTTTGTGAACGTGGACTCGGGGATTTTCCTATAATAACACTACCCTGCCTTAATTGCATCTCAGTATGAGTTCACAAGAGGGAGAAGCGTTGGAGACACAGCTAGAGAAGCAGGAACATACATGTCAAACACCCCAGCTTATTCTCTCATTCAGTCCCCATGGAGATGTGCAAATATCCTCTCTTCTATCCTCTCAGAAAATGTCTGAGACCCTAAATAGCTCGAGAACCTAATTAGCCTCTTCTCTGCTTTTGTCCTAAAGTCTTATACTCAAGAGGAGTTTCCTATGTGACCCAGGGCATTTATGGGTAAAGTAACTAACCCATCCAGTTTGCCTAGGACTCTTCCAGGGTTTGCACTGAAAGTTCCATGTTCTAGGAAACTTCTCAGTTCCAGGCAAACCAGGACTATTGGTTACCTTACTTATAGGTCAAGGGTAATTGAAAACCACTGGCCTTCAGTGAGCGAATGAGCCAGCCCGTGAGGCCCAACGTCAGTTCTGTCATCCATAGAGGAGGGGGATCTAGGACATGGGGCTGGCCTTGGGCAAAGGAGAATATAGGGAGAAAGAAGGGAAGACTGGGGACATCAGATCCAGAGATGACCAGGATTTAGGGCATATTGCATCATGCCCAGTGGCTAGAGTTCTCTGAAAAAGGGGGTGGGGGAGGTGAGGCTATCTCCTTAGAATGAGGGGGCATGACACCAGCTATAGTGCTGGGAGTGGGAGCTTGTGGAGAGTGGAACGGGCTCAGAACAACTGCCCTGGGGGAAACGGCCAGGGACCCATCCAGAGAGGAGCAGAGAGCTGCAATGCTAATGACCTAGCTGAGGCTGGAGACCTCCTGACCAAAGTGCTCAGTGAGGCCTTGACTCCTTCTAAGCTCCGCATCCTAGAGACAGAAACAGGACTAGGCCAGCTGGGGCTGCAGTCAGAAACCAGCCCAAAGACTCTGCACGTTATACACGTAGCAACAGAGGTTTGTGTATTAACCCACGGCCACCCTGGGTCAGCTGCCACTCTGCCTCTCATTGCCTTTTTTGTCCGGTGCTCAGGCTGATGGAGAAGTCTCTCTGTCTGACAGAGGAAAAGAGAGCAATGGGAAGCACAGGCTGACTCTGGATTCCTCTGCCTGGAGGTGACCCACATCACTTCTTATGTTTCACTGACTAAAGCAAATCACATGCCTTTGCCTGCGTGGAACAAGGTGATGCGGTCTCATCTTCCCACGGGCAGGGGCATCAGATATAGCAGTGCCGCAGCCACCGCCCGTGGTGGTCCAGGGGAAGGACCGGCTGTGCAGGGGATCCAGCGTAGCCAGTGAATGTTGCCCAGGAGGCTGACCAGGGACTTCAGACGGGACAAGTCAAATGCCCCAGTGTCACTGGAAACACTTCACACACTCTGCTCCATCAGTGCCCAACTTCTCTTACCGTTATTCTTGAAGTAATAATGTCTCCTCTCTAAATTCTCTCCCCTGCTCCCTCCCTTCTGTGTTTCTGTATTTGCGGTCTGTCTGTCTCTCCATGCAGGTGGAGAAGCCTAGTGTTCAGAGTTCCAAACCAAAAAAGACCTCAGCAAGCCATAAGCCCACGAGGAAGGCCAAAGATAAGCAGGCGGTGTCGGGCCAGGCCGCCAAGAAAAAGAGCGCAGAGGGCCCCGGTTCCACCAAGCCCGAGGACAAGGAGCAAAGCAAAGAGATGAACAATAAACTGGCTGAGGCGAAAGAGTAAATTTCACTGCACTTTCCTTTTACTCTTCTCTTTCTCTCTCTTTTTAAACCAACAAACAAAAAAAAGGCCACAAAATTAATTAGAAGCTTCTCATCTGCCTAGGTCCTGAGTGTTCCAGGAGCTCTTTGGTTTGGTTTTGTTAATGGCAGAATCCTGCTTCAAAGACTGAGTAGGTACCTCCTCCTTAGAGGAGCCCAGGCCTCCAGGCCTCCAGGCCTCCAGGCCATCGGCACCTGGAACGCCAGGAAGCTTTGCCCACTGGCTGTGCCCTCCCTTGTCGGTGAGTCCTCAGCCGACAAGAAAGGCGAGCACCCTGAGGGAGCAACTCTGAGCTGGCTGTGAAGCCAATCTCCTGGTGTGCCTGGAAGTGTCTGTAGGTCTCCTCCTTTTCTTCCCCAAGATCTGTGCCATCAGTCGATTTTGAACTTTAGGTAGATGTGTTCTTTTCCAAAATTCAGAAAATTATCCTATGCTAGAGAAGCTCAGCTTGGGCTGCAGCAAGTGACAAAATTTGTGAAAATATTTAAAACAAACAAACAAAAAACAACCTTGGCCTTAATGTCAATAAAATGAAATTGTGTCTATTAAGTAATTGTTCCATAGAATCTTCTGTTAGAGATGTGTGCCTGTGTTTAATTTCCTATCAGTGGGCTCTACTGAGTAATAGATAAGCCACTGATAACTAAAACTAGGCCAGCGGTGGTAAAAAGGTTCAGTGTTTCAGGTGCATTCAAGATGTCATAGGAAGGTCACAAAATGAGGAGACTTTCCTTCTGTTTCCTGCCTATCCAGTGCTGCCAAGGTTGCAGAACAACTGGCTCAAGGTGACTGAGGAGGAACACTGAAGGTGTAGGGAAAGCGAGGCTTTCCATTTCTGAGAATCCCCAGGGGGCATAGACGGTGGCCAGTGCGGCAGTGTTTGCTCTCCCTTCCTGCCCTGCTCCTGCTCTGCTCCTTGGGGAGGACAGGGGTGCGAGGGCAGATCAGGGGATTTTCTGCGACTTACCTGCAGACTAGGAGAGTGCCTTGCTGAGTGATTAGCAAGCATCTTTGACTCATTAATGCATAAAAGCAGCTCACGGTATATTCTATGTCGTATCTATGTGGCCAAAGCTCCCGGGAGTGGCTAGTGCCCCCTTAGCTGTGCTTAAATTGTGTTGTAGGTATTAGTTGGGGAGTTGTTGTGAAAATACCCTCAGTGCTTGTGAGGGAACCCAAAGTATCTACCAGAAAAATACGATATTTGCAAATGTGATGTGTATATTGTTCGGCACGCTTTATTTCTTCTGTCCTTAAAAATCCTCATCGTCCCCAGCATTCTGAAATTGCTGGGCTACGGAACAGCGCCAAGCCTCTTGGCTCAGGCTTGCTTTTTTTTATATAATGTAAGTGGGGAAGAGTGACAGTCTCACAATTCCTGACCTCAAAAGCCCCGTTAGGTCCTTCCGGTTTGGAAGGAGCGGAGCCTCCACAAGCTCTCTCTTATTCTGACTGTTCAGGCAGCAAAGTCTCCATTTACACCATTTGCTCTGTAGCCTCAGGCTGAATGAGAAGGCTTTTGCAAATTAATTCAGCTTATGCTACACGGGGCCGTAATGATGAATGAAACAGGAAGACTAGAAGTGAAGTGCTCAGTTAGGCCCGCTGCAAAGGGAGAGCCTCACAGCGTGGAAAAAGACAGGAAATGCTAGTAAGTCTTCATGAACCTCAAACTTGACTGCCTATTGGAAATGACTGGAGTAGATTTCCAGTATGGTTTCAGCCATTCGCTAGCAAGTGTTAAACATTTACCAGAGAACCCTAGCAACATGATCTTTAACTATATCCAGAGAGTTTGCCAATGTTTGTCCCTTCTCCTAAGATTTGGCATCAGTCAGACATGCTGATGTTTGCCACAATTTTGATTTCTCCATAGAATAACCATTTATATTTTTTGCAGATCAAATAAATCAGAGTTTACAGTACACTAAGGATCATGAATTCAGCGTTCACTTATTGAGCACCTGGGTGCCCGGCATTGTGCTAGACTTGGTGGACAGTATAAATGAATCTGTCCCCACAGCCACACAGCCAGAAGGATACAAATGACTTGATCTCTGTGACTGAGTCAAGTTGGCTTTGCCCAAATTGTAGCTTGCCGTAGGGGCCCTACAGGCACTTCCACCTACCTTGCAGCCCCAGTGACTCAATTTGCTACCCTGCCCTGCCTGAGGCTTTTGATGACCTGTATAATGTCTTTTTCAACCTATCAGCACCCCTTCTTTTTAACACACCCACTGAGAAAACCCAGTCTGTAGTTCACTTGACTCTTGAATGTGTCACTTCACTGGCAAGAAACTTCCTTTGATTTCTACTGTTTACAGATAAAACTCAGCCAGTCTCATTCTGTATCCTACACATACTGAATGAAACTGATTTTGGTTCCACAAGCAGTGTTTTGATATTGCCTTTCTGAAGGTAACCAAGCTTCCAACGCCTGTCTTGCCGTTATGTTTCCCTGTGGCTTCCCCACATTCCCTTGGCCAGAGAGCTGGGACCGAAGCTTTCCTGCTGTCTGTCTCCCCTGCCTGCAAAAGTAGCCCGTTAAGCTGTGCACTGGCTTCCCTCAGCTCTCTGCTCCGTGTCCACAGTCCCATTCAGTCCACATAGCTTTGCCTTCTGAGGCAGACAGGAAGTGTCTAATTACGATTTTGTGGCCTGGGTTTTGTTGCATACCACAGATTGTCTATGTGACCTGTAGCGCACACCTCTCTTGGTGCTATTTCATTCCTGCTGTTAGTAAGAGAATGACAAAAATATTCATGTATAGCCAATTGATTGTGACGTGCTTGTGGTCTGTGCTTGCTCAGAAAAACAAACAAACAAACAAACAATTTTTCCAATTATAAATAAATGCTAAAGACAAACACCACTTTCTTGATCTTATTTCCTTGGTGAGGCCCAGCTGAGTAGGTGAAGGAACCAACCTTTGCCATTTGAGCCACTCTCCACAAGATGAGATGTGCCCTGCAGTTTTCCTGGGGTTCTCCATAATGCAGCTTGACTTTTAGATTGCCTCTCAGATACTAATTGCAAGCAGTCAGAGCTAAGTGTTGGGAAAGGCGAAGATGGACCGGGAGACGCACTGGCCAACAAGGTAGTGTAACGCTTTGACCCCATGTTGCTGGGAGGAGTGACCGCCTGCACTCGGCACCGCCCTGCCACACTGGGAGGCTGGGCTCCAACTCTACCCCTTCCTGTTGACTGGCAGGACTGTCGGTTCTGACTTTTTCTCCTCCCAAGGACAGCAGAGATGCTTTCACTTGCTTGTTTAATCTGTGGTCATTTTGGAAGTTCCACCCTCGAGGGGCTGGCTCACTGTGTGGGTTACGGGGGTGACAGTCGTGTGTGTGCCTAACACAGGTTGCTGAAACAGCCATAAGAGAGGCCCAAATAAGATGACAACAGACCAGGGAGTTGGGAATGGGGATGAAGGATAGGTTTCTTGCCACCAGGGGTGGGAAATCACAGAAGGGGTCACAGCAGAGGGAACTGGGGACAGTGGGTGGGCTGTAGAGATGAGGGACAGCCTATGGCAGGTGAGCAGACCTAGGCATGGGAAAGTGGGGGAACTGAGTGGGACCTGAGAGTTGGGGCCAAGTTTGCCCACTTTGTATCCTTCTGGTAAAGTGGAAGACAAAAGATCTCATACTCTTCATTTTTTCAATGTATGTTGATTGAATACCTATTATGTGCCAGGCACTGTGCTAGGCACTAGGTAAACCAGGATGCCTGAGATCCTGCCTCTCATCACAGTGGGGCATGAAGGAGGAGTCCATTCTAGCTGGTTCCATGGATCAGGGAGGACTTCAGGAGATGGGTATGTGCTGACCAGGTGAACAGAGCCAGGGGTGGCTGCGGCATGCCAGACAGAGGGATCTACCCAAGCAAAGGTGTGGGAGGGACCAAACGTGGGTAAGCTCATGTTCTAGGGGATAGTTCACTCGGGGAGGGTCAAGGCGAAGGCTGGAGAGTGGCAGAGCTCAGTGGTGGAGAGGCCTGGGGCCACGTGAGTGGGCAGTTGCTAAAGGGCTCTCCATTCCACGCGCCCAGACCGCACCCAACCCCTGCATGCTCCCTCCTCATGCTGCTGTCCCTCCCCAGCCACCAGGCGCACTGCAGATCCTCTCTTGCTCTAAGCTAGGAGCCCTAGGGTCAGACTTTTATTGCTGGCCCTGATTTCTAAGACTTCGTTTGTGGGGGCGGGAGGTGGGGGGAACAGTGGTTGGTAGGAATCAATCAAGAGTCATATAAATGAAAACCCACTATGTATTTGTTTTCCAGATGAATAGAAAACATTCCACCCACCTGAGGCAGAAAACACAAAGCCCCTTCAATAAGTAAAGCAGATACATGAAAGTATATCATTCAGTTCTCTTTCAATCAGTTAAGGGAAAGAGACAAAACAGGGATTGGAAGAGGTGTTAAGAAAGGAGAGAAATAGAGAGGAAGAGACAGAGGCCAAGAGAGAAAAGTCACAGAAAACACACGCACACACATGAAGGCACGGAGAGTAACTTAAGAGAATGAGAAGAGATGAGATACACTCAGGACCAGACAAGGCACAAACCGGGCGATGGAGAGGGCAGGAAGGGCATCTTGTCCACTCTTTCTGTGCCGCCCCGCAGGTCAGGGCTCACCCTGAGGCACATGCACCTGCGGGTCCTGCTGTGACTGTCCTTGCCCAGAGCCCTGGGAGACACATCTGTAACCCATCACTCACTCTGCCTCCCTCAAACGGCAAACAATCACAATTAAAATTAGCTTCTCTTTTTAAAATGGGCCGTTGTTTCTAAATTAATTATAAATCTATTTTCATCCTTTCTTAAAGTTTGTGTTCTCAATGAAATTCTTCCCCCCCTTTTTTTTTTCCACTAGGGTTTAAAAATTTTAGATTCTTATAGATTTGTGTAGTGTCTAGGTCCATCTCCCAAGGGCTACAGACTCCTTTAGCATG